GGAAAAAGTTCATTGCTTATTTTGTCCAGGACAGATTTCTCCTTGCCTTTTGCAACTGAGCTGAAAAGACACTTGTCTACAATCTGATATGAAAAGAATTAGTTTAAAAACGCTAAAGGGAAAAGTAGCTTAATCATCTACAAAAAGGCAGCCCCCCAGAAAATATGCCTGTGAAAAATGTGAAGAACATGTTTTATATTAATATTTTCACAGTAATTACAGGCATCTAAAAAACAATGAAGTCACTTGGATTTGCTCTGCTCACATCTTCAAGGACTTCTGAAGATATTCTCTTTTAGTTATAACACAACATAAAAAGAATATAGGAAAAATAGTAATTAAAGAACCTTTTATTACACATTATTGCTATAATTTCACCTTTAAAAGTTGTTGAGACATCTTAAAAAAAAAGTTCAATGTACTCTCTAGAGGATAAACAGTCAGAAAAACATCACAGACTATCGAAGAGGAATTCTCACCTAACCTCAGGTATACTCAATTTGGATTTCACCACAGACCTCTGCTTTGGTCAAAACAAAGTAAGAGGCCCTTCTGCAGGCTGATGTGTCCTGGTATGTCTGAGGCTGAAATAAAAGGCTGTATGTACACTTACATTTCTTTCACAGTAAGTGAAAGGACCAAAGTCCTTTCTACCTCAAATTTAGTTGTCTCATTTAAATATGTCCATATTAAGCAGGTGACCTGTTCTTCACTTCTCTGTGAGCATTTGTGGACAAACAGAACTATAAAATGATTGCCTGGGTCCTAACCCTAGACTCAAAAAAAAAAAAATTTAGAAGTAGAGTGTTCAGCCTGCAGGTAAAAAGAATATTTTAAAGTTTTATAAACTGTGAATGGTCTGTTTCAAAACAGTACAACATAAAAGACTAGAATCCTCTGGGAATATGAAAAAAAAATCTAAATGGAGTTTGATATCTTATGTCTTTGGCCCAGATATAAGACAGTAACAAGTCAAAAATGTGGGAGTTTTATATTACAGATACTTGTTTATATTGCTATTATCCCAAACTTTCTATAAATTTTGTTCTTTTTGACTTACTATGTTTTAGAAATATATTTTTAATTTATATTGTTTTTGTCTCTTTCCTTCCTTTCTTTAATTTAAAACAAAACCCTCTGATTCTCTTTTCTGTCTACAAAATGAAAGCTTCTTCGGATGTTTTCCTTCAAGGTATAATGTTTTTTGGAATAGAAATTCACTGCATGCGACTGCTGAATTTACCTATTATTGCTTAAATGAGAGTGGTGTTTTGTTGCCTTTTTTTTTTTAATGAGACGTTTAAGCATTCTACTCAAGGTAAATTCCTAAGTAGAATGGTTACATATTTCTAAACAATTTGTAGAGTTGATTCAGCAGCCCAAAGACTGATTCACTATGGTTCTGAACTTACCTAATTCCACGAGTTACCAACATTATTGGATCACATGAATTAAGAGACTGCAGTATTATAACATTTCTACTCCTCTTTCTTAATTTGCTATGGGATCCAATACCACCAACTACAACAGAAACCTGCAATGCACCCTTTTAGAACTCAGCTCTGACCTTACTTATTTAAACTTAGTCTTTTCACTCCAAATTCTAAAAACAAATTTGTTCTGATGAGCTGAACAAAATTCAATGTCAGCATCAGTTGCTGAAATGCTGTTCCTTATGCAAAAATGTCAGAGTTTTGAAAGGGTTTAACATTCATATATATTTTTAATGTTGTCACTGCATCAACAGATCCTTAGCAAATTATCAACTATATCTAGTCACATTCCACATCTAAACCTTATTTCATTCAGAAATGTAGACATTTTGGAAGAAAACAAACAAACAAAAAACAGGGAAAGAAGATACCACATATAATACCCTCCCCCCCGCCCAAATTTACATAATTATGGATGGAATTGCTATTTTACCCTAACAGCTATCAGCAGGTAATTTCAATGCCTGTCATTCTGGTGCTTGTCAAGTGGACAAATGTGTTCTAAATGCTTAATTTGCACAATGAATTCCAAATATATTTGTGTGTATATATATATATGTGTACCACCACTATGTAAATTTTGAAACATGTTGAACCTTCTAGTTGGTGAACATTAGTAGATGGTCAACTACATATGGTCAATTGGAGAGACTTATATCCTAAACTTATTCATAAAAGACCCTCTTTTTGCCTTTTTTCCTATATATGTTTGCTCTGAACTCAACATGAACCAGCCCTATATTGAAATCCTGCATTTCCAATTGATTATTTCAGTTCCTTCCATGAGCAATACACAAATTGTCTACAGATATCAAGCAGCTATGTGAAATTTAAAACACAAAAGAAAATCAAAATATCAGTTACATTCCTGAATGTTTCCTTTAACCTCTAACATCTGGCTTTAAAGCTAATTGTCCACAACTGTTAACTTTGTATTGATTTGTGCTGCTTTCCTGTAAAGTTAAAGTATATGATGCAATTTATTTTAATAAGTTCAAGGTAATGTTATCATTAGAAGTCCTCAGCAATTTACCACGTACCCCAAGCAGAACCATAATTCACATGTTGACTGTTAGTCTCCATCTCCTTGTTGTTCTGGTGATAACAACAAACTCTCTCTCCCTCCTGCCATCTTTTTCTTTTTTTGCCACTCCACCATAGGCACCTACAATTGACATCCGGCCTCGATCAGCTACTATTCAAATGAACAATGCTACACACCTCCAAGAAAGGGACGAAGAATATGGGTATGAGTGTCTTGATGGCAAGGACTGTGCCAGTTTTTTTTGCTGCTTCGAGGATTGTCGAACAGGAGCATGGAGGCACGGAAGAATACACATCCGCATTGCCAAAATGGACTCCTATGCCCGTATCTTCTTCCCAACTGCCTTCTGCTTGTTTAACCTGGTGTATTGGGTATCATATCTTTACCTTTAAAAGCAGAAGGAAATCAGTGATATAAGCCTTACTCACTGAATTTCTTAGAGAAGCGGTTTCCTAATTCCACTTGAAGTATTTATGATGCGCTTTATAGTGGTCTGAATTCTTTAGTGCCATAACCCCGTAAATATCAACCATATCATTTGTCCAAAAACTGCCATCAGGTAACTGTGAATTAAATGTCCATTCAACATGCTCAAATAATTTGAAATAAAAATCGTATGAACAGGTTATATACAGCTATACCTGCTGGAATAGAGGAAAAGCAGCAGAAAAGGCAAGAGGAGCATGGCAACATCACTTAATAGCTGGTACTGTTATTTCACACAGGTGAGAGAATTCCCAGGTAAAGCGCTGTACAGTCTGTTAACACTGGCTATAATTATGCTATAGCTTTATTCTTTGTGGGCTTTTCTTTTTGGAAGAGTCATCTCTCACTTTGAATAGGTATTATTAAGCTAGGAAAGTAACTTCTACTCCCACCAAGATAAAAATAGACATTTCCCTTTGCCATCCCTTTAAGAGCACATGTACAATGCTGTAAATATTTCAATACCTTGTAGTACATAAAGTCTAGTGCATGCATCTTTTGGGGGCCAAAATAAATGAAACAGAAGCAACACAAAGTTTTGTCTTTTATTTTGTGTCTCTGGATGTGCTATTGTAATTGAAATGTGGGCAAAATTTTTTTCCTTGAAAAATGACCCCTTTCCCTCATGCATGGAAGACCCAAGCAGACAGCACTTTCATGTAAGACATTAGAGAAGCCTTAAGGGTTTAAATAACATGTAGACAAATCTGTATGGCAAATATAATAGCTCATGAAGTATCCTCTATGTGTCTGCTGCAGTTGTAGCCTTCATTTTCCATGGATAATGTTACTATATTTCAACTGAATTTCCAGTAATCATACAATGCAAGATCAGCTTCTGCATTTAATCCATGTTGTGCTTCTATTGTTCTTTTCCTATGTTGAGCCTGCTTTCTTTCATTACACAGGTGTTAGTAGATTTTGGGCTTTTTTTTGTGTGGGTTTTTTTTTTAAATTCTTTAATCTAGCCCAGGAAATAGCTTTTATTCTAGACATTATTTTTACATCAGACTTCACATTTCATTTTGAAACATTAGATTTGGTAGTATATATACGCATGCAATTCTCTGCCCATTCACATCCTTGATCAGCAATAGTTGTTGTCACCACTGCTTTTCACTCAATGAGTACCTTTACTAAAACCAACCTTTACCATGGCTAGCACACAGTGTATAGATAGCCTTGAAAATAAAAGGGAACAAAAAGGTGTCTTGGCTACTAAACCATATGTATGCAGTTTATGTGTATTTAAAACCTTCAACCCACCTGGGTGAACCTTAAAAATCATTTATTCACTGGTTTTCAGAACCTGTATGATGCTCAATTATGCAACCTTAAGCACATGTAAATATGACTGACTTTTTTTAATTGTCAAAGACATCAAATATCACCTCCAGGAAAGTGGGCATGCAGATTGAAAAGAGATATGTAACTTATCATTACAGAATTATTAAAACTACAATGGAGGAAAAGTAAAGTTTTCCATTGTTTGTATAGTTTTGGAAAAAAAAATATATAAAAAAAGAATAACTTGATCATCAATTGCTCCTTGTCCAATGTATTTGAAAGCATTTTAATAAAGGAATTGCACACAACAGTGGACTTTTTCAATAAAACTACTGCACTGAATTCCAGTTTTCTTGTGATTAGTTTGTTAAAAGCATACTTCAAGCACTAGGCTGCTTGACTAGTTTGATTCATCAGCTGTTTAAATACAGTGATTATAATCTTCAAAGCTCTGCATTGTCTCATTTGGTAGTCAAATGGCTCACCCTCATGCTTTAGTCTCCACCCTTAAGTTTTTAAAAACATTTTGAAGATTACGATATGCTTAAAAAAAAACCAACCACTAAATTGGAAGTATCCTAATGAAGAGAGATAACCTTTCTTTATCTACTTAGAAAGTGTCTCCACTCCCTCATGAGTGTCAATCACCTTTTTCACAGAAACATAATTCATCAGGTGCCAGATGGATCACTAATTTTGAGGGTTTTTTTGCAGTGGTCAGTGATTTAACAGCTTTCTGTTAGTTCCTTTTAGTTAATAAGAATAGCTAATGTTTATTAAAAATTTAAGGCTCCAATTTTTACCTGGACCTCTTCCCTTCTACCAAACAGGTTTTACACCTCAATCTAAATACCTTACAGTTAACACAGAATTTTTTGTTGTTGTTGTTGTTAAGGTTTGTGGAATCAAGGATTAAGCACTTTACCCTAGTTCAACTGTCAGATTACATGTCCCTATGGAAACACTGCAACACTGAAGAATCAGATGCAATAATGAGGAGCAAATGACCATATCCCTCACTTGCACAAGTTGGCCTTCTCCTTCCTGCAAGGGAGGAGTTCAGTTAAAGATTGATGTACTCCCATCTCTGTAATGTAGACCACAGGAATTGGAGAAGCATGCCACACCTGAAGTTAAGGAGTTGAATGAACTTTTCTTACCATATATTGCTACACAAAGTAAAGGAAGTAAGACCTTAATCCATCATTAATCAGCTCCTGACACACTTATTTAGGTGTCATTTCATCCTGGGAAAAATGGATGAGATTCAACAAAAAACCACACACACCGAGTTAATGGAGAAACATATAATTCCCAGTGAGAAAATGACACCAAAGCATGATCTAGTGCTAACTAAACAAAAAGTATAGTGTTACTCTGAACAGAGAATATAGTAGCTATTTAGCACAGAATCAAAAGATTACCTGTGTTGTAAAGCCAGATTGCCACCACTACAAACTAAACAGCAAGCCAAATAGCATTTAAGTATGATAAGGGTTATTATTCAGAAGAAAAATACTCAAAAACCTATCTATATAGACATATTCACACATATATAAAATATTATATCTATATAAACTTCATACATATTAACCCAGTTGCATTCTAGGGAATAAATTCATTCCTGATGAAACAGAATTGCTAAAATATTTTCAAGCTCATCACATTGCAGATAGCTATTACTGCTCTGTCTGAGGATGTTCAGAGGATCATTAAGAGTTTTGTCAAGTATACACTAGTGACAGTTATTTACTTGCTATTTATATTCCGAGAGTATGTAGATATCCTGACTGAGACAAGGCATGGCCATCCCAGGTATCATGTCACATACACATACCAAAAGACAACACTGTCAAAGCATTTATAAATATTAATGTATATATACATGTATAATATTTACAACCCCCAATTTGGAAATGAAGAGTTAATATTCAGAGAGATAACGTGATTCAACAATAGTTTTTTCTGTTTTCAGTGTTAGGCAACCACAAGATACTTTAACTAGCCGGTATTGAAATATTTTATCCACTGTACAATACAATACAAAATGTTAAAGCTCCTAAAGGTGTAGTTCCCAACACAAATTATATACACACACAGAAAAAAGTCAAATATGTGTATCAGTTTCAATGACACAGCTATAGCAGCAAATATTTGACACACATATCTTCCTGTACCCCCAAAGCCTTTCAAGTCTAAAAACAAGGGTAGAAAAAGGAAATAGAATAATTGTAAAATTCTTAAGCAAATGAATAATGCAAGAAACAGAACAAGAAAGCTTTGCTATCTGCACAAATTTTGGTAGACAGTATTACTTCACATGGAACCAAAAAAAGATTTGGGAAAAAAATAGCTTTTGATCATCCGTTTTGTCACAAAATATGGGTTTTGTAGGATCATGGCACAGATGAGTTGCAAATTGGAATTTGAAAGCAATGGTTTTTACAAGTTTGCTGAAGTGTTTCGCATGTTACAGAAGAAAGACAAGACTAAGTAAGAAAGTCTTTGTTGGAGAAGCTGATAGCTGAATGAAGCTCAAGTATGACTATGACAGTATTGAGCTGACCTGCTCTATCCAGCCTGCAACTGGGAATTGAAATACAGAAGCAAACAAAAACTTGCAGAATTACATAATAATTATGTTCATTAATGGATTAAAGAAGCAGGCCAAAGCACCAAGATAGGAAGAAGAAATCAGATGACAGGGTTCAGACTTCATCTACATGGATGAAGAAGCAGTTTCTGCTGTTGCTGTAATAGAAAGTTGTTATTTGGAAATGAATATTTAGGTCTAATATAAAGCCTTACTGAAAAATAGAGCATGTTCGTAGGCTTCAGAAACCGGAAGAATAAAGTCTGTTATTTCAAGCTAAGGGATCCAAGGCAGAATCCAATAGTAACTATGTACACAAGAAGAAAAGTAAAACTATGAAGAAGCCATTTAAATGAAACTTAAATTACAGCCCAGGGGAGAAAGTGACATTTTAAAAGGCAAGTATTTTTTTTCAAATAAAATTTCAGTTGCTTTGCAAAGAGAATTTAATTAAAACTTATGAAAAGCTTCACAGGTAAATCAGTTTATTGTACCCATGAGAGACCTATTGTTCCATTTATGAAAATTAAAAGCCAATGCACTTTCCTTCCATATTTAGAAGGACCCTGTAGATGAAAAATCTAGACTTCTTTCTTACACATTACTATGCTTTTTTTTTTAAAGTCAAGATTCACAATGAAAAACGTACCTGTTGAATATGGAAAAGAAAGTTTGTGACCTTTAAAAGAACTTGAATAACAGACATGAACTAAAAGCTTTGCTTACAAGTCAGAAAAACCATTTGAATAAATCATTCCAGAATGTTGATTTAGTTTGAAAAACATTCTAAAAAGGTTGTCTTTCTTGTAGGGGAAAAAAAAAAAAAGCTGAGTATGATAAGTTTGGATAAGATTCTCATTTATACTCACAGAAAATTCATAATGATTATCAAAATGAGAAAAGGAAAAAAAGAAATTATAAAATATTAATACAGCTTTAATTCAACCAGTATGAAGAACATCCGAAATATTGATCTTTCTATCAGACACATTCTTTCTAATACTGGTGTATTGAAAGCTATGTCTGATGAGGTTTAATCAGCCAGTCTCTTTAGACTTTTCAGGTATATGCTATAAGCCTAACTACAGATTCCATTATTTTGTTCTGAACACCCAACCTTAATTTATGCACAGAGAGAAACAAAAAACACACACCAAACAAACCAGCAAACCTCAGAACAACCAAGACAACCAAAACACACCCTACCCCAAAAAATCTCCAAAACAAGACTTCTCATTTCATTCTTAAAGATGGACACAAGCATATTGAAACATCTATCCAGCTAACATATTTACAAGGTGTCATTCAAAATAGTAGGTGAGGCTATAACTTCTTGAAAGTCAGATAGACCTGCCAGAGAGGATTTAACATAGCTCTATTAAAGAATAAAAGAAACCAACGCAAATTTACCATGCTTTCACTAAAAAAATATAAAAATATCTGCATGTTTGTATTGACAAAAAACACACATATT